TAGATGGAGAGAGTTTATCGCACGCTTCGTGACGAAAAATCGTACGCGAATATCGTAAGCAATAATCGCCATAAGATTATCATTAATGTTTACATTCAGGCAAGAACTAAAATCTCGCCTACGATTATGTCATACGAGATTCGCAAGCAACTTACTCGCCTCCTCGACTGTTTACACAGATAAATATGTAGTAAGGAGATTCTTGCTTACGAATTTTCGACTTGTCTAAACACTATCTCGTATAACATTTTTTCAAGTTTATACGATTATCGTACAAATCGGTTCGAACCGTTTTGAGTGCGAGAATTGCCATTCGAGTATGCGGTATTGACTATGGACATATCAAAATGACGCAAAAATCATTCAGATTTGGCACTGCATAGAAATATACATTTTTTTTATTTTATTTTTTCAAATTTCATAACATTTCTTAATCCAATATATTTTTCGTTCTCGTTTCGTTAATTCTTGTCTTAGAAAAGCAGTGATAATCAAAACACCCTCGCGCACTGCACTTGTGGTAGAAACGGCTGGAACAGAAACTAGAAATACGATTTTTGTTTTCGAGTTCTGTTTACACGGAGACGTTCAATATTCAAAGGCGAGGCGATTATCGCTCACGTGGACGGTCGATAATCGCGAACGTTTAGACGAGGAAAGTTTTTTATATCCTTTCGATAATCGTTCGTTCGAGACGAGAAACTCTCTCCATCTAAATGAGCCTTTACTTTTGACGTTATCTTTTTTAAACAACCTGTATATGACAATTAAAACTTAAGTACTTGCTACTAGTAGTAACATGTATTTAATAAATACCTATTATTCCAATATAGCTTATTTTCATATTATGTTCAAGGATTCTCAATATTTTTATGAACCCTACCATAGTGAGTCAATGATTGTTGATTTCACAGTTTGCATTGACATTAGATTAGATCATAAACCAACTTTATTATGGTCGTGAAGAATTTAATATAGCTATTATTTACTATTTTATTTACCTATCGAAGTAACAATAATATTTTTGTTTAAATATATTTGTTACCTTGGATTGAATACATGTATGCTGCATGGCCATGTCTATTATAAGTTCATAGCCGATGTTTATGCAAGGTCTTTAAACGATAGTATTATGGTAAACAAATGTAAACTTTGAAATTATTATTGTAAATAACAGACAGAAATGATACATCGTGTATATTTAATAGTAACTATAATTATCGCGGCGAAGACTAGATGGCGCCACCAATGGCACAATTCAGGGATTGTAAAACAGGTATATCACAGAACAACTGTGTTTTGTGTGTGTTTTTAAAGGTGAGTACATACATACCGTATAGACACCCGCAGCGGCAAATACACTGAAACATCCTATCGCAGATAAATTGACGTGTCAGCTACCCTAATCAATGTTTGAAAATTCTTTCGTCAGATGGCGTTGGTGGTCACTTGCATGTGAACGCCGCGTATATTCTGCCTGGTGTGTTTGCTTGATATCCAAACGTCACGTATTAGCGGACCAAAACACAAATTGCATACTATTTTCTATGTTGGAAAACAGACTTTATAACCCGTGCAAATAAATTGGCTCGAATGTCACATAGGTCACCTTCAATTTACATACATGTTTAATTTGGTCATTTGAGTTGTGTTTATATATAACACGAATGTTGATGTTTACCAGGTTAAATAATTTAATGTTATTTGTTAGTTACGGCCTCACCTGCTGCATATCTATGATGTGATGAAAGCATGAAGTGTATGTGGTAATTAAATACGTTCGCACTCGAGTTACGTCGATGTAGGGTGTGGTGCAAGTGGGCTAGAAACTTATCCACAAACCGAATACATATATGTTAGGTATCTAGGTACTGCGAAATGCAGAATGTCATATTTTTATTGGTTTTCTCAGCACTTAGCGTATCAAAGTTTGTACAAAAATAGCAATTTTATGCTATATGATTTGCGTATACGACTGAATAATACATTGAAAAGTTTTCTGTTCAATTTATTTTTCTCGCTATCAAGGATTAAGTATCGCTTTAAAGTAGAATAAATAGAAAAACGACATTATAAGACTTTGTCTTCGTGAATGTTTCATATGCCTGTTTCTGGTGCCAAGCAGTAATCTCATTACTGTGTTCCGTCTTTGAAGGGTAAGGGTGCTGGTGAAATTACAGTCACATAGGATTTGTTAACTTATGTCTCAGGTCTCAGAGTGACGGGCGCAGTGGCAGTGCTTCTCCGATCTTTGCGAGTTCTGAATCTGGGTGGTGGTGGTGGTGGTTGGCGACTACTTGTTCGTCCCAGCCCTTGGTATCAATAATAAAAAAAGGGTAAGCATCTAAACGTTATATTAATCAACAAACTATATCTACAGGAAATGAAACTATTTTTCCGGATTTAAATCGCGTATATTTGTTTTTTCAAACAAACCGACGTTTTGGGCCCTTTCCAGGTCCCATGTCAGTGCCATGCAGTCAACCGTGACCATGGGACCTGGAAAGGGCCCGAAACGTCGGCTTGTTTGAAAAAACAAATATACGCGATTTAAATCCGGAAAAATAGTTTCATTTCCTATGTGTAACAATCGCAATAGGTGCAGTCGTCAGCTTATATTTGCATTTGTTTAACACTACGGTGGGGCAGGAGATCAATTTAAAGGACTTTAAAGGTCTAATGTGTCAAAATTCTTTGTTCAAAATTATTGTACCTCAAGTCATGTGCATAGCGTTAAAATTTGCGAGTTAAAAACATGTCAGGTTGTACAGCGTAAACCTGTAGCTGAGTATACAATGACGTCGTTGACATTTGTACACTTAGTTTAAAACATAATCATTGTTTTAAAGATGTAACCTCAAATGACTACAGAAATGTTTACACAGCTTGTGTTATAGAGAAATTTTAGTGCAGCTGACTAGGTTTAGTGCGCTGGTGTAGGATCCAATTTGCGTTTAATTAAAAACCTGAAACTCCAGGTAAATATCGTAACTAGGCCATATACATCCCATGTAAGTCTCTCTTATCAAAAAAGAAACAAAACTTTTCCCATATTCTTTGCCCCCATGTTGCACATATTTGATGACCATATTTAGTGAGCGCTGGAGGGGGTCCCGGGTTGGCTGATTCCTATTAGGACCATTTTCGGAAATAAATTTGATTATTTCAATTTTGTTGAAAAACTTGGATTCAGTTGAAAAGCGTGTCAAGAGGCGCTTATAGGTGACTCGGATGTAGCAGAGGCGAAGCTGCAGTGCCACCGCAAAGTTGCCTGTTTATCGATATTCTACAGGATATATCACGAAAGGAATGGCATAATTTAATTCCTCCTTCCACTTTCCATAATCGGGGGACTCGACGTAGGTCGGGGTTCCACCACTATGTTGTGGATATTCCCTGGATTCACACGAAGCGTTTCGCTTTCACATTCATATGGCGAGCGGCTAGGGAGTGGAATTCCCTGGCTGCGGACGTATTCCCCGAACGCTATAACTTGGACCTTTTCAAGGCGAGAGTGTGTAGGCATTATATAAGTGTGTATGCTAATCGTTACTTTTCATCAGATGAGATGATGTTCAAGTGCGCACTTATTTCTGTTTAGATTTCTGTTGGTTCAGGATATTCTTTATAGTGCCCCGGTGTGAATTCCGGTAGCTGTGGTACTCTTCAGTACGGGGAGTTTCCTAATTGGAGACCTGGCAATTAATGTGGTAATCTATTACATTATTAATATTATATCTGCTATTTCATATTGGCAAATGATATATAATAATCCTAACTATATTACGATTGAAAACGCCAACAATATTTTATATATTTGTAGTACCTACAATAAGCGCAGTGTCGCACAACATCGTCTGTTTTATTGTCCCTATTTATGTCTACACAAAAATATTTATTGTTTTCTGGCTAAATGAAACCATTTTTATGATGTTTTTATTTATTTTTACGTTTGTCCGCAAGTAAACGAATAAAGCCTTCATACAGATTTTTAAAAATCTTTATTTATTTAGGAACTTATAAACAACGTTACGTATGTGTCAATTCTATCGTAACTTAAACTATAGATTACCTACATGTCTGGACGGCACTATTGAAGCCGTCGATTCAACAAATCACACCCCTCATGGAAAAATGGCATAAGTGAAGTAACTTTCTCCATTATAGACATCACAGAAAAATATAACCCACATTCTCTCCAATTCTTGTAACTCTATCGACAAATATTGTCTAATAATACTAATATTGCCATTCTTCTATTAGGGGTGCGAAATAGTAACTAAGTAAGTCTTTTTGCGCGTTTTGCGACGTTGCTTGCCCAGTACCTATACAATTTTAAATACCTACGGATGTTCGTTTGATCTGCAGGTCACTCATCCGCTCTCTGTTGTTCAAACCGGACACATTCCAGTAACAAGTGATAACTCGCAATTTCAGGAATGGTTTTTTTTTCATTAAGATAGCAAAACTGTTTAATGGAACGAGTCCGCGTCTTATCCTTAGCGCGATGACAACTCATTTCCTTCCATAGTCGCATTCTTCAAACCAAGGTTGTTGACACTGAATTGTGTGATATCAGACACCTCTTTCTCTTAATCTGATATCGAAATACTTATTCCACATTTGAGCACATTTCAATTTGTATACATATTAACAAAAATGATCTACTTACGCATTATTAAACTGGTCCTTCAATGGCGAGCCTTGCTGCACGGCAATCGCATACGGTTTTCTCGAGAATTCATCCCCAACCATTTGCAAATCACAGCTGGTCAACACTTGATATCTCACATCTGTGGCATCACCCAACCACGCAAAGCCTTCACTGGTGGTCTTGGAGTCCCGAACGCGTTCAACAGCCTCTTCTATCGAGTTTGGAAGTCCGGCTTCTTTCATCGCTTGCCACATTTTGCTGTATTTGTCGCTCACTGGGTAATCCCATACTGCGAGTTTTGCTCGTTCCACATCACTTAGGCTGTCGTTTAAACTCATTTCTTTCCATATTCTGAAATTATGTAAATAATAGGTATAATGGTAGCAATAACTATACATACGTACGGTACATTATTATGTAGACTCAATCAAGGCTTGGCACCATAAAGCCCAGCGCCCATTGGCGGAACAGCGTGGCAAGGGATCCTTCGGCATTCCGTGCAAGCGCATCGCACACAGACGGCATTTATGCCACGGCATCCTTCGGCCGAAGCATACAGTCGCGACATCGTCTAGCCTCTCTTTAGATAAGTCGTAACGTTGCAAACTGACTTCTTACCAGCTTTAATTAAAAATGGTAGTCTTAATGACGAAGGAGAACAAATGAATAACCTTCGGGAGCCTGCTGAAGCAACCTGAAGGGCGCAGAGGTGTTCCGGAGGCAGCCTCTTCAATTACCTACGCTTACTGCAACTTTGTTTTTGTAGCTACGACGCGACGTCTACAACGTTTGAGGTATACCTATTACTAATCGTAACCATAAAAATGCCCTACTGTGCCGTCCCATTAGTGGGTGGCGGGTCTAAAGGCATACATAATTGAGGATATACACTGATTGCTATACGGTTACCCAAGCAAAATTAGTACAACCGTATTAGTAAAATTTTGAATTGGAGCTTAGGTAGTAACGACTCTCAACACCAGGCCATATTAAGTAATCTGTGACCAGACGCACGACTTGGTCGTCCTGTCAATTGGTACCATAAAAAAATCTAAGTATCTAACTTAAATTATTAATAAAATACGGTGACATACTTAATTTGCACTTACTCATAAAATTTGACTTCAATGTTAGCCATTCGTTCGAAGTAAGTCATGGCAGCAGACCCGTTGAGCGGCGCGTACTGAATTTTGTATTGCTTGGACAGATCGTCCAAGGACTCAATGGGGGTGTCCAAACGGGAGACTGTGAGGAACGCCGCTAAGTTCGCTGTGTACGAGGCTATTATGATGAAACTGGAATAATACCACAATTCGTAAATACATCATCATCTACCCATTAGGGAGTTACCACACCTATCGACAAGAAATCGCATTAAGCCGACCAGAAAAAGTTTTATGTCCTTGTAAGAAGCGAAAAAAGTTTTAGTAGCAGTAGAGCTCCTTGTGAAAGAATTCATCCAGGGAAATACTGCCACCTTGCCTATTTCTGCCGCCGGCACACACTAATGCTGACATTACTGTGTAAGGGTGCTGGTAAAATTACAGGCACATGAGACTTGTCAACTTATATCTCAGGGTGATGGGCGCAGAGGCAGTGCCGTTCAGATCTTTGCAATTTAAAGCTCTGAGTGGCACTGCAACTGTTAAGGACAGGCGTGTAGCCTACCATCAGGTGCACGACTTGTTCGCCCCGTCATTTGATATTATAAAAAAATATATACCTAACAAAATTCAATAAATAATAACGCAAGTACTCATAGCGCCGCGCTAGGGAAATCTCATCGCAGGTGCTATGCCACACACATAGACAACCACAAATTACACCCAAAGTCACGAGATAAATAAATGTAGGCAAAACAAGTATTTCTCCTGAGCCGGGAATCGAACCCTAAACTTCTGCATAGCAGTCCAGCATAGTAATTAATTGCCTCCGTGGTAGGGTCACGGAGGCAATTAATTCCTTATTTAACCTTGACTTTAGCACAGAGTTCTGCAATATTTGACAGTTTATCCCTTGTGTGGCAGGCCTTACCTACCGTACTTTACACAATTGAACCGAAAATGATACATCGTAGCTCAAAACAACGTGAGTAATTGTCAAAAAATTTAAATCATTCTAGTAGCATTTTAAAAATAACGGCCTAACTATTTCTCGACTGAAAGAGTTGATTGACTCTGTAATGTCCCACCTACAGATATGAAAATACGTATATCTATAGCCCCACCCAACACAAGGTTTTTTCCGTCAGACGTAACTTCACAGCAGGGTTGTTGCTGCTGCAGGGTTTGCTGATGCGGATGCTGATTTTTTACCATACCATCAGCGGTTGCTGATTTTACGTATTTTAAAAATAGGCGTAAATCCTTATTGAATCTACCTACGTGAAAAAGCTTTCTACTTTATTTTAATATTTTAATAAAATATTATTTCAATGACTCTGTGACATTTATTAACAAAAGAATAAATTTGCATGAAAACAATCAATCTGCCTACCTTAATCGTTCTGGAATTTTATCAAAGTTATGTTTTGAAAACAACAGCTGAGCTTTTTCAGTTGACAGCCTGTTTCTGGAAGATTTGTAAATTATTCCAGCGTGCCTTTTAGGTCATGTTACGACTCAAACATCTGAATGCGGATGTGGATGCGGATGCGGATGCTGATATTCGCAACAACCCTACCTCACAGTGTGAAGTTGTAATAATAAACATTGAAAATATCTTAGTGTAATTAACTCGAAAAGTTATTTATCTATAATGGACATTGGTCTTAATATCTACATAGAAATTCATTGTTTTATGCCTACTCATTAGAAATCTGCCGGGAATGGCAATCCTAAGACTGAAATGGTGTGTGTATTACTTTTGAATATAGTATAGCAGGCTGTAGCAGAATATCGCTACATGGCGTTGTGAAACACTCAACAAACCTTTTACTTTCATCACTCTCGTCAGCATCTAAGCTATGTGTAATATAGTTTATATTTCGCACCCTTGGCATAATAAAGCCACATGTGATTATACATCAAAAGTGTTTTCATCACATGAAAGTCGTAAAATAATACAAACGACACGAAACTAATTGCAACGCTATTTAAGCATAAAACGTTTTCGATATCGTTCACGGAATCTTAACCTCTTTCCTGCAAAGTTGTAATTGTGCAGATGTGGCCTTATTACACCAAAGATGTGACATGTAAAATATTTATTATTTTGTCGTTTTAAAAAATATATAATTTATAAGACGCTGTTACAAATTCACATCGATCGTCCTAATTTTGTCAACGTGCCATTCCAACTAAGTTCAATTTTACGGAGTATACAATACATATAGGCAGAGTTCTGTCTGGTCTCTTTGTAAATTTTGTATAAGCACCTAACTAAGGTAATTTTGGAACTAACCCAAATATCTCTGACGTTGAAAGTTTAATGTTGAAGACGCCCTTGGTACTTCGTTAAAAAAACGTACCTACTTCAAATACATTTCATAGTTTCCCCTCTCCGGTTGGCCATGGAACCATCCTCCTCATTTTAGAAATGACGTCATATCATAGCGCTATTCATACCTGGTTTCTTTTATTTATACGTAAATTTTAATGAATAATATTCAAGGACAATAACATATGCCAGGCGAATTCGGGGAAAAATCTTCAATAACATAATATAGGTTAGGTATTTAGGTAGGACAAACAAACACACCTACAGTACTATATTTTTTCTAAAGTCCAAGCTACAGAGCCATTCCAGTTTTACGAGAACACACGAATTATAATTTGTTATTGAGAAACTCATATTATTCTAGTTTTTACGTCACTGCAAATACTAACTTTATATGTGGACTTTTAAGATAAACTTTTAATTGATTATGATTATGGTTCACGTTTTAAGCAACACCAGCAGATAATTCAAATATAGAATGCCACCACGTATCCGTATCTAACTGAATATGAACGTTATCCATGAAGACAAAATGTAAATTCTTAAATTTACTACCGACCTGACATAAGCGAGAAAATTGTCCTTGGTCTTAAATATAAAATGAACATGAAATAATATCAAAAAATCTCGAACTGATTTTATTATACAATATAAAGACAAACATGGTAAAATTTTTCGTCTTTCGGGACAGGCGTATAATTGGCCATACTGCCAAATTTTAGGTGGTAATTTTTCTTCAATAATTCTTGATACAAAGACCGAACACTAAGAAATTTTCCTTCGATCCAGCTGGATTAGAACCAACACCTTTCAGCAATCCGTCATTTTTAACGACCTTTTAACGTAGCGCCATCTGTATTAAATCTATTTCTTCAATACTTTAATTTTCTGACATCTTTTCGCGGGGAATCGTTAACGATGACCACTTTGATACTCCAAGACAAACGATAAAAAAACAATTTTTGTGCTTGTTTCTGGCACTGGCTGTTTGCGTGTCATTGCAAAACGGGGAAATTTATTTGCAGAAAACAATGGAAAGGAAAAAAAAATGGGAGAAAGGCTCAGAGAAGTTTGAGGTAAAATAATAGAAATATATAAACACAAAAAATAGGCATATTTATAATGTGATGCAATTTCAAAAAAAAAACAAAGTTTAAGATACAGTAAATTGAATAAAAAGAAAAAAAACGCTACCTACGTACCAGCATCAAACAAAGCAGAAAGACTTTAAATCTCGATAAAAAGACTTTAATGTTAATTTGATGACCACGAGAAATGGCTGCAATTACAATTAATTAGACTATTGTACATAATGGACTTACCCAAACAGCCACCAAGTAGCTGCCACCAATCTCCCGGACAGGTTTTTGGGCGCTTCCCCTCCTCCCTGTGGGGTGAGTGACGTCATACAAAACCACAGACACTCCTTTAACGTAAATTCTCGTTTCTCCTCGTCCTCTTTGTATTTTTCCCGGTTGTTTTGGTAGCTGTAGGGACTCCATTTATCGAATACCCACATTAGGAAGCTGGAAAAACGAAGGTATTGTGTAATAGTCTATTGTGTACTTTGAAATCAGGGAGTAAGTGCCAAAGAACCCATGTACAGTAAAGAGCACTTACAAGTTTGACGCTTTGGAGCGTTCTTAAAGTAATCGGCATAGTGTTGAATTTAAATCTTAAATGTCGAATTTTACGTGCACTTAGCCCTGCACTACCACAAAGAGATGTGAGTTTCTCAGTACTTTATACACATATATACTTTATCTCACAATGTTTACGTCATTTGTACTTAAGCAAAATGCTTTACTTACAAAAAAAATTTTGTCTTTTCGTCATAATTTTTTTCGTCGCCGAGTGTACCTGTCCGGTAGGAGTATGTTATATTATACCTAACGTACAGACAGCCACGTACTAAATACTACAATCTCTTTTTGAGTTACAAAGAACGCTATGTAAGTGGACCACTATTCCTAAATGAATAGAATAGAATAGAATCATTTATTACATATTACCAATGTTTTTATTACTATTAAAAATACAATATCAAGGGTTATTATGATCGTCACTAACGCAAACAATAATAATGAATATAAAATAAAGTAGTATAACTACTGCTTGTCTAATGGACGGATATTCAATGAAATGTTTACCCCATAGTAGGTGACTCTACTTGACTGATTCCAGCACGTATGTACCTTGCCATTTACGTCACATAGTAACGTCATTGTTTTGTTTTTGGAAGGAAATAATAGGCGCCAAAATAATACAGCTGAATTTGGTTAGAATGGTAGTGTTTATACCGCCTTTCAAGAAAAGGCCGTGGGTTTGAATGCGGCTCGCGCTGTTGAGTTTCTCGAAATTTATGTGCGAAATTTAAGGTGGTATTGGGTAGTTGCCTCTTTTTCGTTTAAAAAAGATTTTATATATTTGTAGTAAGTATGGTGTTACACCGAATTTCGTATTCGCCGTTTCTGCCCACGATTTTCGGCAGACTCATGGCTTAAGGATCAGGGCTATGCATTATTAATTTTGAAAGTGGATTGGAGTAACGTAAAAAACTAACTGTGCAATCTTTGAGAAAAAGAATCGCATTAGCTGTATTCTATTGAGCCTTTTGCCTAAGGTCGTCGTACAAACTACTTGCACACGTGCAATATTGCTAAATAGTTTCATTCAAGCGCCTTCTAGGAAGTTCAACGACTCGCGTGTTTATCAGTAACGGATGTTATTGTTGAAATAAAAAGGTTTACGTCATCCCGTAATTCCCCTTAACATAGACACGCCTAATATTTAAATACAGCAATACCATTTACGAAAAATAAAAGACTTGAAAAAATAAAGTCAGCAAAACCACCAACTAGAATCGCAAAAGCATCGAGCATTTTTTTCAACTGGTAATACAAATATTAAAAGTCGATATAAATAAATAAATAACGCAAACACTCAACATAGCCCCGCATGGTGCCATGACCACACACATAGACAACCACAAATTACACCCAAACTCACGAAATAAATAAATGTATGCCATACAAATATTTCTCCCGGCCCTGAATCGAATCTGGGACCTCTGCGTGGCAGCCCACCATGGTAACTGTTCGGCCACGGAGGCAGTTACTGTAGCACCCTATTACCGGGTCCAAAATTAACCTTGTTGCATTTAACTGCTATATGTATATGGACTAACTAAAAATCATAATTTATCGTCGAAAGCCATAAATTGCTTAACCATAGGCAATTCTTCTTGTCGTGTCGATGGCGTACACTAAAGTGCTTGCCATCGTGGTGAAAGGATTTGCCAATCGGTGTAAGGTGCTCACCGATTATTACCAGGGTGCACCAAACGTACAGGAAAGGAATGGTACGTCATGTTAGGAGGCTCCTTTCGTGCACCCCAAAGTACTAACAACAAAGTAGAGTTACTTATAGGCGAAATTTCTGAAAATAAATTCTGCTTCTTTTGTCAAATAGCCATGGTACAGTTAAGAAGAACACATCAAGTTTGACGCTTTCGACGTAAAGATAAATTTAAATCTTCAGAGTCTATCAGTGGCGAGGCGTCCACATAACTCGATTTCCACCGGCTTGCCTACAATTTTTCACGTATTATCAAATATTATTACATTTTGTGCTAAATTTTATTTGTAGAATAAGTTAACCAGTGAAATGAAATGTAGCAGTATCTTGTGTGCTAATAAGTTGTGTTTATGTAAGCGCCACTTTTTCTTAAGGTAGGTTTTTTCTGTTTTGCTCGGGCTTTACTAAAACCATTTTTCACCCCTCGCCTCTGGAAACTATACAATCTCAAATGGCTTTGGTTCTTTCCGCATAACAGTGAAAGTGTTGAATTAGAACTTTGGAAAAAATATATAGTAAAATTGCAGTTGTCCACTGATTATTATACAGCGTGAAAATACGATTTCTAAAAATTTTCACGACACACACAAACTTGCCTCGAAATTGTACAAGAAAACCGCTGTATTAAATACTTTATACATACATATACGAATGATTTTTTTTTATATCAACTGAACTAAATGGAACACGTATACTATATGATATACATTTTTAAAATGGCCTCAATTTCGTTGGAAAAAAAATAAATTCTGAAATAAAGCCAGTGTCTCTGTCGCTCAACGCTTGAGGGCCTGAGTTTGACGTCCACTGTACCTTGTACGACCTTTTGACTCAATCTATTGTTATTATTACATGTTATTACGTATAATATTCATAAAACGCCACGTGTAACACACGCCACGCAGGATAGCAGGTTCATTTGACCTCATTCCAAAATCAGATAAGAAATAATAGAAGCAGGTGCTCACCATCGATCGATGATTGATAAATGTCAGGTTTACCCGCCATTTGCTCGATTAGTGCCTAATGTAATTGTGGATAGGGTAAAGAGACCGTTAGTGGTGCACGGATAAATGGATCAGATGATTAATGTATTCCCTGCATGCGTATTCCGTAAGGTCACCTGTGTTAAAGCGGCTAAAGAAATTTCAGTTTGAAAATTAATTTACACAATACGCAATTGCGTATGTCGCTTGTATTTAAGCTTTTAATAATTTTGTGTTCTGTTACATTGCTATTATTATTTTATTTCTTTTCCTGTAACTGTTTAATAAACCACTTTTGTAAAATTATTTTATTTACATTTCTGTTTTGTTATTTCGTATTAAAATTGGAGAAAGTAATTTTACATTAAATTATTACTAATTCTGTCTGGCTGTGTACACTCTTTTTGGAATGTAGTCTAGACTATTAATATATCAAACTGTATCTGTTACCACGTGACGATTACTTTCTGTTTGTGTAACTTTAAAATAAAATAAAAATAATAATCTCAGTACAGAGTACTAAAAAACCGACTTCAAAAGTCATTCACTCCTAGTTTGTCACTCTTAGAGGTGGAATATTTTCTTCCAATTTAAATGGGACTATTACTGAGGTACCCTCTTTCCAAAAAAAAAAAAAAATTATCAAAATCGGTTCATAAGGAGTTACCCGGAGATATTAGGCCGGAGTTATCGCGTAACATACATACAAAACAAAAAAACATACGTTATATTGAAAACCTCCTCCTTTTTTTGAAGTCGGTTAAAAAGAGTAATGAGGTTCTAGGTGACACTTCTACTACTTTACGCTATCGTCAGGGAACAAAAAAGTTACGAGAATGGGCACCCGCCCCTCCCTAGTTTTAGTACCGCCACACGCCCCGCACATTGACGGTCACATTGACTGAACGACAATAAGACTGTCGGCGAGCGTTTTCTGAGACTCATTCAGTTCCCTTCATTTATTTAGTGCAGTGTAATATATAATACAGATTTATTATATCAATATAATGAGACGCCGTAACTTCGTGAGCTAGTAGAAAAGGGTTCTCAAAATTCAACATACCCAATTATGAACTAGTAGGTAATGATAAACTTATGACACGTAATTTCAAATACCTTGGTTACCATTTAAAAGTACCTGTCCAAAATACAAAATTTCAAGTGCTTTTAATATATTTTTTTAATAAATATTCAAAATTATTCTAGCTAGTGAATTAATGAAAAAGATAATATATATCGATATAAATACCTAATGAACATTTGTATTTATTAGGATTCTATTAATAGAATTATAGATAACTGATTCGCGTTAGAATTTTCGCTATGTTGCCGCTCTGACCACGTACAATTGATGGTTAACCCTGCCACTTCACGCACACATTTGCGCGTGTGTAGATAGCGCCTTGCTGAATGTAGTAGTAGGTAAATAACTTTCGAGCGTTGTATGGAGTGTGCTATTGTCAACTACTACATATAGGGTGCCCTTGATAATACTCATTAATGTAGTTATAGTGACGAACGGTGCACGGTACCCGATAAGGGAAGTTTCTTTTATAATTTTGGTTTTCCAATATTGTTACCCGCTGAAGTGGTTTACCGCACTTGCGTCCTAAATAAATGTATAAAAAAATATATTACATTCACCACTCACAGCATATCCTGAATTTTCTATTGACTATGAAAGTATTACCATTTATCTAAGTGATAATAGTATGCTCAACAAAAAAGAAGATCAATCCTATTTCACAGGCTACGGTCGCGGTATAAACTTCTGCGCATAATTCGTGTTGTTTTTTCATGAAAATAAACTTTTAAATAATAACGTCATCGAGAGCCTTATCTACTTATAGCTGTTTAAAATCAAAGCGCTTCGCATGGATCTGAAATGTACTCTAGTACCCACATTCAGAATCCAAAAACCTACAACATCCACTTCTCTATCGCAAACCTAAACTTACTTATCAATACGGTTATTATTTTACTTACGTTACAGTTACCGTTGCTGTATAATACAATTCATACCAATTAAGCTAAGTAGATTTTGTTCCATTACATTTTAGTTTTGTACAACTACAATCCATTAAATCACATTTTTTTACTGCAATCAAGTCTAAGCTAATCTAAGAGATTGAAGAGATGAATCTTTTTGCGACTAGAATCTACTTCTAAATGACGACTTACTACCTAGCTAGTCAAATTTCAAATACCCCTATAAGGCTCTCTCTCTCCGTATTGCTTGTACTTTTGAATATGCGGTAACTTATAGATCTTGAATTGAAAACCTAAAGATTTTCAACAAAGCTGTTTAAATCGATACGCTAAGAAAAATCACAAAGCCTGAATGCTGTACTGCTGGAAGTACATACACATAACAAAGACATAGAGAAAATAAATCTGAACAGATTGGAAAGATTGATCCATTTCCGAATTTCAAGAATGTGCACGTAGATCAAGAGTGTGGAAACGTCAAAGTGTGAATAAAATGCCTTATCATTTTATTTGTTAGTCAATGCTTAGCATAAATGAATGCATACCTTGTAAAGAAGTAAGCGCCCAAAATCGAAGCCCATACATCATTCTCTAATACTGTAAGAAACTTGAACAGTGACGTCGGAGGCCGAGGCAATTTCATTAAAATCGTTATTCCCACTAGATCGTAATACGGCACAGTAAAATCCACTACGTTCTCCCTCTCTGCCATAACAGACAGTGAAGTTAGACCTATATCGGCTCTCTTTTCTATTAACTCTTTGATAATGCCGTTCCAGTTTCCGTTTTCATCCATAACCCCGAAGTTTCCGTCAGGCGAGAGGGTGATTTCGTAGTCGAACTTGACAATTTGTCGAATTTCTTCTATCAGGTCAATGCAGTAGCCCTTAAAACCTTTTGGTGCTTCATCGTCTCGTATTATGAATGGTTCTTGCTATGAGAAAAAATATGAATTATTTCCGGCTTTACCATTCACCTTATATACCTTGAATGGGAAACCTAATAGACCACCTTTTAAATGGCGTGATGATCTCGATGAACAAAAAGACTTTTACCCAGTAGTGGAACAACATAGCCCGAATATTTAAAAAAAAAGCAATTGACTTTTCAAGTGTATCTGTCACACTATTAAACTATCGTCGAGGTATATTATTTTAATGTAAATTATTCACTAAGTATAATGAAGATCTTATTTCTATTTCCTGAAGTGAAATAAATCATTTCAACCAAATCAAAGTACAGGTAATACATTAATAACTTTAACGAACGATTAAGTAATTTTATAAGATCCAAATAAAACATACAACATTGTGGAAATCTTCCGCACATAAAGACATTCCGATATCATGAAAACAAAATGTCACAAAGTTAAGAATAACATTGTTTACACAGTTGTGAGTGATAAGAGAGCTAGCTGAAATTTATCGTGTTACCTTACCGACACGTTCCACAATAGTGGAGTTCATTTACCTGATATATATCATGCTTGTACATAAGGAAAAATATAATTTGGCACGGCGTATCATAAATAAAAATTATAACAATGAATTTTAACATAACTAGCACGAACTTAGTGTGTCTGAAAGTTGAGTAATTTGATTGAATTTCTGAATACTAATTAGGTACGCGACTATTTATAACATATACAGTTATATATACCATTTTTACACATTTCTAGATCACGACGCCAACCTTCTATTAACAACTGTTTCTGACCTAGATTCCCTGCTCACTCCATTTATTAATTAGACCGCATTGCGTGTAACGTAATCATGTCATAACAAGTTAATGAAACCTACCTCTACAGTCACAACTCTGTAGACAAGTTGCGCTGAATAATCGCTCATATTATCCGGATCCGTCAGTTGTAGTGGATTCGATAATCCTGCCTTCCAAGATCCCAAAGATTTACTTCCAATAGAGGCTCCATCTTTGATAGTTACTGCGGATATATCTGTACTGAATTCCATATAACTTCGTCCATTCATCGGATCATCTTCAGGAATGTAAAACGGCGCATATGTTGGAGTTTCTTTTACCTGAAAAAAGTGTCTGCCTCGTACATCCAGTATATTTAAGATATCCCTTATTATTATCACTGAACCCTAGCTTTTGGGTGTTGACAGGAAACGAAGAAAATTCATATTTTTGGATAGAAAAATGCATATATGTTCAATTTTATGGTTTTTAAACATTATAAATGTCAAAACACCTCTTGGAAGGCAGACTTGAGGTCCAAGGTCCGGTTGGGTGTATTCTTGCCGTCGTAGTCGTCACATGTAATATATTTCATGTCGTTTGGCCACTTGCCAGAGTCCAGCAGAGATCTGGAAATTCGTAAAATTAAACTCTCATGGAATATACCCGCTATAATTAGATATTTCAAAACACGTAGTGCACCGGTACGATAGCACCGGAATAGTATAAAATAAGGCCACATTTAGATTAGTAGAGCTGTCTGTATTCATTCTGGGAAACAGAATACGGTTCAAGGCAACTGGCAAACCAAATGAATGTTAATTTAGACTTAGTTCTTACTTGACAGCTAAAAATGTCCTCAAAGACAAATCAAAGTAAAATGCAGAAATGATTTCTGGCTCCCCGTTCATACTGTAGGTCGTTTTAATTTTTCCCAATCGGTCTCGGCTCTTCGCATCCGGTGTTGGTCGCATGTAGACTATAGTAGCATCTTTGCAACCGCAGCTTATATCTCCTTTGTCTAACGAAAGAGCAAACCAAGCTGTTTTTCTTCCAAAATATTGATTTTCATCTGCCGCATCCAACACGTTCTTTATTGTTCTCAAACTGCCGATTATAAAGAAGGTCACGATGTCCAGCTCCCTAAGACTTCTAAGTTGAGTCTTGATATCATCTTTACTGAAGCTTTTGACTGGCGTTATCACATGCCTGGTGGGTATGTTTTGTAGGAGGGATTTGTACTTATGATCCATCACTGAAACACAATAACTGACATTGATAAAGTTGTTCCTACCATAAACTAAATCTTATGTAGATCAATGCATATTTAAGCTTCATAGTGGTAGCCCACCGGCGCCATTTGCCTGTCTGTCGGTTTTCAACAGAATATATTTGTGAGCGTGCCCGTGAACTCTATTAGCTCATCTCGCCTTACGGAGGGATATCATCCTTGCTTGGTTTAGACTCTCTTCTGGCATACTAAGGTATATTCGTCATCTTTTTGTTATGCACGCAGCGCAGGATAGCAAACCCTGTGTACGACTGTGTTTCCTAGCATATACAACCCGAGTAAAGGTGCGACTGTAACGTATCTCCTATCTTTGCTCCAGGGCTAGGTACAGGTTAAGAGCAAGTCCAAAAAAATTACACAAATAATACTAACCAAAATACTCATCGAAAATTATAGCAGCGTTGGTGGTGTCCTGTTTAGTTACGATGGCCCTTATCGCTTCAGGCAAAATATCTGATGGAGGCATTACTTGTAGGAGGAATTTAGTTTGGTTCACGTTGAGAGTACGCCATTGCCTCAGGTCACCAGCTTGGCCAAATGAGCCAGTAACCGTAGGCAATGCCACCGCTGCAGTAAACGACTTTATTGTCTCCGAGCCCACGCCGGTCATCGTAAAGTCTAGAACGACGTGCGGTGTTTTCTTCACGGAAAGCATGTCATTATATTTTCTGCAAACTGTTAAGTATAATTTACAGAACTTATACAACTGAACTAAATATTGGTAAATAGATAGCAAATAGGTACTAAGTATAAAAACATGTTATACAAAGTGTTTTTTGTTGGAACAATTTGGGGAAATCCGAAAACATAGGAGATACAGGAAACCTGTCTTAGGAAGTATTAAGTCTTTTACTTGTAAAAACATTTTTTTTAGTAAATTTTTTTGTCAAGTGTGAGTTGTTCATAACAATTAATGAAATTGATTAATTTTTTTAGTGCTAAGATCGACTCAGTTTCGTGTAAGGATCATTTCATTGTACTGGAAGAAAAAATCGGACCAGCGGAAGTTGGTGAAATTGAATAAAATATTTTTCATACAAAATTAATCATTTTCTTCTGGAGGTGCCGTCTCCTACCGGAGGACGGCTATTATTAGGGCGATCTGTGTTTTAGACACAGCAGCACGGAACAATGATCTGGTGCTCAGGTTAAACCATGTCCGGAGATTCTTAAGCGACGAAGTTCGCCTTCTTCCAGGTGGTAGCTTTCCCTATATCTTTCCTTGCATAATTAGTCGGAGTAGATCGTATTTATCATTACGCGTTATATGACCAAAGTACTGTAGTTTACGTTTTTTGACAGTACTCAAGATCTCTTATTTCTTATTCACCATCTGCAATACTCTTTCATTGGACACTCTATCCGTCCAAAATGTTTTTAAAATTATTACAAACTACTAATAATATAAATAATAATATTAATATAATAAAATTAATACAGGCACAATTAAGAAAACTGACTATTTTTTTAATGCCGATATATATAGTTTCATGTAAGGATCATTTTATTCCAATACAATAAAATGATCCTTACGTGAAACTAAGTCGGTCAGCACTTCTGGTCAAATTTAATAAAATATTTTTGCATACGATAGATCACCACCAAAAAAATTTATCTAATTTACTAATTTTTATGGACAACTCTCACTTGACCAAAACATTACTATGCCAAAGCTGTGTTCACAAAAAAAGTACTTGATGGTTCCTAAAACAGATTTCCTGCATCTCCTTTATGATTTCGGATTTCCCTACACTGTCCCAATTAAAAAAACAGAGTGTGTGTACCACACGCAAAATATGCGCCTAGGCGTCGAGTTGCCGACAACTCGTTACACCATACCAAGACGTGTTGAGTTTTTGTCAAGTATTTTTATTATCGAATCTTTGGTATCTACTTACCATTTTCCAAAAAGCCTTTAGCGTCGGATCGGTTGCCGACCACGATCACGGGGTCCACCGCTAAGCCTATACTTGGATTTCGTCTAACATACTCCTTAGCTACTTCGAACGCCTTTTCTGCCAAGGCATTGTTCTCTTCATTTATCAATACTGAAAATAAGACCTCTTTTAAAGCAGGCCAAAAATGTCATTGTCTAGTCGTCTCAAAACTTCAATATGTGGACTTGTTATATTTTTAATGAGATATTTATTTTGAAAAAGTTTACTTACAAACATTAATATTCTGCGTTGTTTGCCCAAAAGAAACGCGACACATCGATAATAAAACCAAAATCTTGACCCACATGACGACAAAATTCTTAAAACGATCACTCGTTCATTGTCCACCATCCTTTGATAACACCCGACTGAAATAAGAGTGGGTTTGAAAGGGTGGTCACATTCTGTGTACTATCTAGTTTCCACGGCAATATCCAACCTTGATTTATGGCGCATCATCAATAATGTCCCGACACTCACCGCTTTATTAAATTGTTTGTATTTCTGTCCATAATTTAAAAGGTTCTCATACATAGAAAGAGACTTATTAACATTGTCCTTTCGTTCTCATATTTCTAAGAAACTGTTTTCGTGTGTACTTTCAATCAGAGAATATAACGTACCTTATTACAGCATTACCATAATCGAGTATTTAAAATATGACTAGCGAGGTAATACTTGACGGTTCTAGTCTGAAACTTCTAGAAAGAGTCGCTCCTTTGTTTAGAAGGTACCATTGCTAATCGAATTTTATATAATTTAAATTTTAAACGCTTTACGCAAGAATAACCACGCAAGAGTGTATGCTATCGAAATTATATCGAAAACTCTACCCATGAATCAAATTGATTAAAGTTAGTCTTAAATAAGCTGTACCTACTAGGAACGACACCGGGGATCTTCGAAATAATACCCAATACAGTCGAAAACGATATCCTAAAGTTATTTCAATAGATAAATATTGTAACCATTTGTGTTGCATGAGATGAATCGCAAAAATATGACCAATTTTTTTGGGGGAATTGGCAATTGCCACTTGACCAAAAAATGTTGTTAACCAAATTCTAAAAAAATGCCATTAGCCATTCCTCATATTTTCAAATATGTATCATTAAGATTTAAAAAATATAATCGCAATGGAAATTTTCAAATAGCGTGAATAAGGACAGGGAAGAAAAATGGCATTCTCGATAACGTCGCATCGTGGCTGAAATCCAAATCTTGACTCATGTATGAGACCTTAAATACGAAAACTGTGTATTGACATTAGTCGACTCATGAGATCATTGAATGGTTATGTATGAATCATCGTAATCTAAAACAGCCCATTCGCTACCAGCATAGCAGTCCCCCGCGCAGGCAGGAGACTGCTCATACCTAAGGTTCAACTCACACTGGCGCAAAGTCGACGCGTCGTGTCGCGTCCTGGTTTTCAAATTTCAACTACACCGCCTGACGACGCGCGACGACGCTCGCATTAGTGCGCCGGAATCACAGTGTGGTCGGCGTCAGACGCCTCACGGCGCCCATAGACGCGCGAAGCCGCGCTGGCCACACCGCAAACGAAGCTAAGCTTAGTTCACGAAGCCGGGGCATCTTTTCATACTCCGGTTCACACCGCGAACTAAGCCATCTAAACGAGCATCAACGATCCCTAGCTAAAATATGTCGCCCTGAAGGGCGGGCGGACTGAACCCCGCACGTATCCATAGTCACTACTTACTACGTATTTTTAACCGATTTCAAAAAAAGGAAGAGGTTCTCTCTCAATTCGACTGTTTTTTTATGTATATTATGCGATAATTATTTGCGGTTGTGGACCGATTTTGATAATTATTTTTTATTGGAAAGAGGGTACCTCAGTAGTGGTTCCGTTTAAATTTGAAGCGCAAATAATATTCCACCTGTAAGGGTGGCAAACTAGGGGATGAATCCGATTTCGCGCACTTTACGGTAACCGATTTCAATAAAACTTGGCAAATAGATGTAATTCCACAACTTTTGAGGTCGGTTTTTTTAGGACTCTGTTCTGAGAATTGATTAAACTCTGTACAGCTTAGCTGGCATAGTTGGTTGCGGGCAACTAGTGAGCTAAGCTAGCTTCATTCGCGGTGTGGCCTGCGCTCTTGATATTCGTACAATACTAGTCTGCAAGTGGTGCTGTGCTGCAGCTGCGTTTCTAAATATTGTATGACAATTAGTAGCGGCGCGGCTGCAGCTCGACCATAGTCACGCTGGCATAAGGCACATGGCTGAAGCGTTACTACAGCATTTCTACGAGCATCTAACTTTATGGTATGTGAGATGAAAATTGAGACGTAAACAAAAACAATAAATTGATTGGACTATTTTATTGCCAGAAACGTTTTACAAACACTAACTTCACAGTGAGGATAGTGTTAAACTGTACACGCTACTATAAATCTAAATATACTAAATGTACTTCTTGAATCAAAATTTAAATTTGAATTGTTAAGTTTAGTATAGTAATTATAATCTGAAAAAGTTAGTCAAAATCTTAAACAATTAATCCCTTATTACAGAACACAATGTGTCACAGGTTTATTGGTGAATAAAGATTCGTATCCATATGGATTTATGTTACATTCGAGGCTTGTATCTATCACATATAAAATGAGAAGCAAATAAATTAGAATCATTAAGAAAAATAAACATGTTCATAGAAATACGAAATAGCACGCAAAATTAATGTCAATATGAACTATCACCTTATTTGTCAAATTTGAACTTTAATTAAATTCCAAGTCTTAAAATTAGCGTCGCAGAGTGAACTGGTTACTTATTATGACCGTCCTCGTGCGGGGGAAGAATTCTGCGGCATGTTGACCTGCCAGTAACGTATTGAGGTCGAATAGAAACGATCGACGCACACTCCGCCCAACACACGAAGATTTGTTGGTATAGTTCACAATGCAATCCGTAACCAAAGTGTCAAAGGAATGTTTAAATGGTTAAGTAATAATGCCTATGAAATATATAAATGTGCGACATTTAACTGCTAAACTTAAATTACAACTGAATAATTATCTAAACATTTTAATTAATCTTAGTTATCTAAAATCCTTGTTTTTCGGAAGCTGTTTTATAAAACGCGTCGTTCACAGAACGGATCCTGAATTGATTTTCACTAGAAGTGAAGTACTTTGGCAGTATGTTACTGGCGAAACGAAGTATCTAATACCGCGACATAAGATTACTTTCATCAATTCAATAACCCTTCGCTACAAGTCTGTTGAGATAGACACCAATACGCAAAAACAGCATACAACACCTAAACCGAGTGATCAGTTCACTGCGATGCACTTCTCAGCCGCGACTGACGACAGTATCAACATTAATTTACACTTTACAGGTACTTCACAGGTATGTTAAATACATAATGTATTATTATAAACCTAAACTTAATGTGGTCACAAAAGAGCTCAACTCGTTTGTCGTAACCAGATTAATATACAAAATATTATTTTAACTGTTTTGGCATGAGAGTAACGTTAGGTATAAAAGGATATGTTATAGTTAGGGGAGAGTTGAGCCCTAATGAACATGGATGCATTGCAGTAAACTAAGCATATGTATCAGAAGAGGAACTTAAGCGGCGGCCTCCTCCGTTTCGGAGGGCGGAGCCTCCTCTACTACTTTCGCCTTCTTCTCTGGCGTGGTCTTCTCGGCGTCACCGTTGTCAGCTGAAACGGATTTCCTCTTCACGCCAGTCTCTTTCGTTTCTTCTGTAATGGAGAAAAATACAAACTAAAGTTGAATCTAAATAATATACACCCCACATCCGCCATTTATAAATTTGTCAGGGCAAGGTCGCGCCGACATAGTAAACTTGTCCCAACTAGCTTGGCCAGACAGCGCCCGCTTTTTACATCAAAATGAACGATGAATGATATTGGAAACGTAAGATTTTTGTCTTACAAGTTACATGATAAATAAACACAGGAGTCATTTTAGTTATTGAGAAACTAACCTTTTGAATTCCGAGAATCTCTTTGAAAATTGCTACTTGCCTTACTAGAAGGCAACTTAACAAAAACCTTGGTGATTAACTCTCTGTTGCTCTTAAAGGAAATGAAACAAAAACATATTAAACATGTTTTCCTTAAAATTCAGGTCCACATAATTGGCTCTGTCGAAGTCTACACACCTGTGGCATCTCCATTCTCTGTGGCATCATTGCTCTCTTCTGTGTCCCCATTTTCGGCGACGGTCTCCTCTGGTGCGTCATCACTGCCGTTCTCCTCCTTGCCGTTGCTCTCTGGCTCTGCGATCTTCTTTGCCGGCGACTTCTTTACTGGAGACTCCTTCTCTGTGGAGGTGACCTCCTCGGGGGCGGCATCCCTGGAAACATTTAGTGGTCTTTTAGAAGGGTAATTTTATGTAAAAATATGGTAACGTAAATAATAGTAAAAATACGGTACATAATTGTAAAATGTTAATTAACGTTGATAGCTATACCTATCGAGTGGACCGGTTAACTAAGTTTACTTGCTAACCACATATTTGCAACAACAGCTAACCAATAAACAATGTTATTTTAGTTCCCAAAGCTCGCAGCAAGCAAATGATGTTACAGTTCAGCCGAAACGGGCGGGTTAGTAACGGAACATAACAGTGTTATGAACGCTGCAGCCAAGTGAGGCGGCGTAAAAGGAAAAGTCAGACGGAACAAAAACAAGCGACTGTTGCGCAAGTGATGTGGGAAAGTTGCAACAGAGGAAACCGAACGTAAGCCGCTCAATGAATAAGTCACTCGCTCCAGTAGACACACGCTATATTACTCCTTTTAGCGTTAAAAATAACTAATGACAACACGCGGCCCTCGCGAGTACCGGCCGATAACGTAACCGCGGAGTTGCAAAACTCGAGTCTTGGTAAATTCAAAACGAGCGCGCGCCGGTGATCGGTGACGCTTCGCGCCGGCACGCCGCGCATCAGCGCCATCTTGCCCCCGAACCTCACCTCCCAAGCGCCCCGCGCCTACCGTCCGGCGTGCTTTCAACTCGCCGATTATTGTAATTCGCTAATATACAAAAAACCAAGCTTATCTACCTATGCCACAATATCCAATTAACATAAAACTACTCGCTTCGTTTACATGACGACTACAAATTACCGTCAAAAGGTCTATTATTGCGAAACAACATTTTCCCGCGTGTACTTATCGCTATCGGCGTCTCTAAATAAGCATCACTAAACTATCAACAGTTATGATAAAACTATTTCGATATGATAATATGGTGTTACTGGCTTAGTTTTAACAACGAAAATAGCGGAAAATGTAGAAAAACTACACAAAACATGAGTTCATACATCGAAATGGAAGCCATTTTGGTCACGTTTTCGAAGCCGCCAAAAATGAAATTCCATAACTTAATGTATTATTGGCTCAAAATATGCAAGTTTACTTACTTCTTTTCGACGGCTGCGTCTGCCATTATTATAACAGGAATTAGAAACTCGAGAAAAGAATTCAAAAATAAGCACGTGTTACGGACACCGTACCACAAGTTCACTGCACAAACACCGCCGGCCAAATGAAGGAGGAAGAAAGAGGAAAATATCGTGCGCGACCCCACGAGGCGTCGCGCATCGGCTATGAAGTTCGTACACATAATTCATACTCTAGTGATGACGCTACAGGCAATCACGTTTGTACGACCGAGATAGCTATATTTCACATAGAGCCGTCTACAGACAACCTTGAATTTCCACTACGAGTCAGAGTGGAACGTACTGTATCTACCTTGCTCTGTCGCCCTGTTTGAAAATACAATCGTTAAAATAAAAATAATGTTTCTTCGCGCAGGATTTAATAGGTTATTCTAGAAGAATATACCTCTATATTCTAAATAATGAAAAGTGGTTTTGGAAACAGACGGTAATAGGTTCAAGAAGTGATACTTTTCGCACTATTAAAATCTAATTTTGTATTCCGCACTCATTATTGCTATTTTTAAATTTCTACAAACCCAATTATTTTTTAAAACTTTGTGTTGCAGTTTTCTGTTTTTGGGATAACATTTTTTGTAGACTTTCTTTGTAGAAATATAAAAATACAGTAAACGTAAGAACTTGTAATGTTGGAGATGTATATAATTAAGTAAATAATGAACAACATTTCCTTACACATAACATGGCATCACCTTGGCATGCACATAAACGTAAATTCTTTGGACGAAGAGGCCCATATCACAATGTTTCTAGTATTTCTAATTTGTGGTCTCTAATGCAAGACTGCTTAGTTGTGTTGTAGCATTGTTTAGTAGGCCGTCAACGTAAAGACCTAATTAGGTATTTACGAATTAGAAATTATGACCTACGAAAATGCTGTATCTATGACTAATGTTCGCTTTTTATGTTATTTATAGACGTTCCTATTTAAATTTAATAGGTAAGAAAAATACCATGTAGGTATATCTTTCAAAATTAAGAGAAATACATTTTAAAGCGAAATATTTGACCTTATAATGCAGTACTTTGCGAATACTTTGCGAGTCTTTTTTTTTAAAACGACGACGCGACGAACAAGGCGTGCGCCTGGTGGTAAGCGACACGCTCGTAACAGTTGCAATGCCACTCAGAGCTTTTAAAATTGCAAAGACCTTTGAGAAATTGCCACTGTGCCCGTCTTACCCTGAGACAGACATTGACGTCACATGTGCCTGTAATTTCTCTAGTCTAGATTAAACTGGAGAAAGTTTGACAGGTTTAGTATGGAAATACTTCGCAGGTAAAGTTTTTAATTTAGTTAGTGTACAAGACATAACGAATTAGCCCAAAATGTTTAAATTCTTCTCGTCGTGTATTATTTGTGTAACATGTGACAATAATACAAAACACCAAAATCCCTCTCTCTGTGTTACCATAGACATGAATTTCAATTAAGAACTTAGATAATTTTATAGTACCCATATGTTTAGGTACCTAAGTTACGCATTCTTCGGTGTACCTACTTATATTATTTGGCAATATCTACTATCCAATTGATTCTAAAGGAAGCCTTTAAATTTTATAGAACAATGGAAAGAATACGAGTAAGGTGGTTTTCACACGAGTTTAGCAGCACCATAATAACTTTTATCGGAAAGTGGCGCGGGAATGCGACAGTAAAGAGTGTTGATAGCGACTCACAAATCTCCAATGTTGTACTACAGTCAGAGCGTCACGTGTCGCTGCTACCAGGCGTCAGCCGTCGTTGTACGAGTAACGCTTATACTAAGACAGTAGGTAGTATTCCATTGTACAATATTTGTAGGACTAACATTTAAGTATTTGGTAAAGTCAATTTATTCGCAAGCATTTGGATGTAGACATTTCTTGGTTCTAGAGTTAAAGTCACTCGGCCGTGTGAGACTACATTTTGTATAAAAATAAGACAGAATTATAGTTCCGCAAAACATAATAAACTTAAATCTTTTTTCAGTTACAAAAACAACTTGTTAGGGAAAGAACTTTGATGTTTTAGGAACGTTGATCTGTTTTGTCAACAAATTACTAACCGAGGTAGCAACTATAATATATTAGGCCTGTATAGCACAAGCATATATTCAAGTTTACATGAAGACTCTTGTTTCCAAGTATTTTATCAGTAAATGAAGGTCACAAACCGGATAGGAATTAACGACCATTTTAGTAAATGAACAGCGAATTGTCCACCAAATAAACATACGAAAATAATTAAAAAATAATGTAATTGTTAATTTTCCTTTTAAATGGTCGTTAACGGTTTTTATTAGTAGGATTATACCTATATTGTATGAAAGTATTGGATATTATACTGTTTCATATTTATCCTCGAATATTTTCCATAATTTATATTGAAATATATGAATATATTACAAATATTTAATAATTATACGTGTACGTATTATATCACAAGTGTCAAGAATATTTAAAATTAATTTTATTATTGTCATTGAAACCTATTTATCGCTGCACCTGACTTTCGAAGAGTTACCTTATTTTGTAAAGAAACTCGTACTATGGTCGTGTAAATTTTTGCGCTCTACTGTACTATAGGCATGATTAAGGTTATATTGTATGGTATTGTAAAGAATAAGAGTAATGCTTTGCACAACATGCACTTGGACTGCCTCGGTGGCCGAACGGTTACCATGCCGGACTGCCACGCAGAGGTCCCAGTTTCGATTCCCGGGCCGGGAGAAATATTTATATGGCCTACATTTATTTCTCTCGTGAGTTAGGGTGTAATTTGTGGTTGTCTATGTGTGTGTCCATAGCACCCGCGACGCAGGGTTTCAGTGTGTGCGTTATTATTATTTATTATTATTATATTTATCTACTTTGTTTGCTCTTATTTACTTAAGTAACTTATTTTTTAACGCAATTGTCTGGTTTTTTAAGAGGTAAGTAAATGACATAAATTACAATGAGCATACGTTCGTTTTCCTCCACGTAGGTGTAATTCGGTTCACCTCTTGCTTCGCCAGAAAACCATCAACCCGAGCGGAATACAAGAAAACAACGATAACTTTATGAAGTCGTGCTGTACGATATTGAACTTTATTGGTATTAAATGTAGAAATTGGCAGATGAATGAGGTGTAAAATGTAACGTTGATGACGTGTAGGTCGTTGGCTTTCAAAAGAAATCTTGGCACTGCCTGGTTGTTAATTTCGTCAGAATATGAATTCGTCAACCAGAACCGCCCGGTCGGTGAGCTGGTGTAGCAGGTAGATTAGATGCAGCCACGCGTGCTGTTTAATGATTTTCCACGGCCATTCTTGCTAAGTTTTTTCATGTATGAGCTTAGAGTCCGTATGTAGTAGGTATTATATGACGTTGATGCGTAGATCTAGGATTTATTCGTAGGTAAGTACCAAATACTTAAGTATTACACTTCGTATTGTTAGATGTATTATATGATATTATGTCCTGCCTTTGCGCCTAGAAAGGCGAATTAGGAAGGTAAGGAGAATAGAATAGTAAACGTGATGTTGCGTTTATGGCAGACAAGGTCTAATTAGTACGTACTATAGCCTAGTACTATAAATTCTCGTAAAGATAATCAATGACAGTTATTTATCGTCATATGACTCCGTTGCAACTAGTGAGTGCATTAGTTGTCTGAATGAGTCATTTCTTTACGGTACAACTGTGCACACAAACGTTGGTTCAATAGGTAAGATACGTGTGCTAAATTCCAATAGGAAAATACGCGTTTTACTGAAGTACATGTTTCAATAAATCCCAGCATTATGGGGAGTGTGTAGGTGTTTTAATGTATGTACGCTCGCGCTCGACTAAAATTCACCTTAAACACTACTGTTGGTTATTGCAAGTTTTAACACTATGCAAATGAAGTAAGGTTCAATTTTCACTGAGAAATTTTCATAGTTTGTACAGGGGCAAAGAACATAAAAAGCTTGACGCGTAACATTTAAATTGGACGATAAAAGGTCCAAAGTACAAAATGTAAAGCTGGTTGTGCTCTTGACTGTACAGTACAGTAGTGCTCTTGAATTATACACTTCACTACAGTACAGGCTCTGATGTCGATGACTGTACATAAGTATATTATATAGCTGACCTTACTTTCTATCATAACGTTATTATTAATCACATAAAATCATAATCTGATAACAGCAACAGAATAAAAAATTTCTCAATTATTTTTTTGTGTGTTACGCGAAATCTATGTTACGTAATTATACCGACATTTGTGAACCGATTTTTTATTTATATTGCAAAAATAATCAAATCGAAAGTTATGGCGTTGAAGTTTTGACAGCAAATGTCTCGAAACTGGAGCTTTTAACTTACAGAATAATATGTGAAGATTGACACTTTAAATTCAACTCAACTCCGAAATCCAAAGTTTCTAACTTGATAATGCACTTGATTGCACACGACGTCCAAAACACGTTTTAGTGGCGTTTGGTAAGACCTATTTATGAGCCTATGCACACGGCGTATTTTGTACGCGCCGTAAAAGCATACGCGCGTCTGCGCGTACCGCGCATTTTGAGAAAAGATAATTTTAATTTTACTTTTGTTTGTTAATTTCAGTTGGTTTTTTGAAATGAAGCAATTACTTGAAATTCTAAGTGTAAACTACGTGGAGAGTGGATTCACGACGCGCGTATTACACGCGGATTACGCGCGTTTACGGCGCGTATAAAATACGCCGTGTGCATAGGCTCTAATATCCAATGGGGTGTATCCTTTATGTTGTATGGGTTCACAAAACATTTTAGTTTTGTTTTTTTTCTCATTTCCGTTAGTAATTTATCAATATAACACATTCCCACCTAATATTATGACAATAGGTGTAACAGACATAACGAAACCATACGAATCTGTAAGGGCGCGTTCCCACTATGTCGTGACGACAGATTGTCGTGCAGTTTACAGTGTCGTGGCTTGTATATTTAAATGAAGTTGTTCACATATAGCACGACACGATTAACTGTCGTTCACGATTTTTTATCGTTACAACGACAAACTGTCGTCACAGTGGGAACAGCTAGAACGACAGTCGTCAGACGATAAAAAAACGTCACGATAAAAACGTGACGACAGATTGTCGCAGCTCCTATTGTCATCACGTTTTATTTATTGCTGTCCGCACGTATTCTGCTCCCTGCTCTCCACTCTCTCGCTCTGCTCGCTTTGCAGTAGCGTTGGGTCGTAGCCTGATATGGGCATGCGCCCGGGTTTTAACCCGGCGCATTGTTAACGCCGTGTTTAAATTGGGTTAAAACCCGAAATTAAGGGCAAAAACTAGTTACGTCTAAATATTTGTTGTGAATTGAGTTTTGTTCAAATTTAATTATACATTGTGTATTCTTTTGTAATGTGCTCTGCAAGTCGTGTTATTAACGTGTCATTGACTATTAAATGTGGAAATTGTCATTCTTGAATAGTCCCAAAACTTTCTATCATCATTTTTCAGTTCATCAATAATCGTTTGGCATAACCCTAATGGAATTCATTTTAGTAGCATTGGATGTACCCAAAACTTTCTTTTATTTGTTTGCTTCCTCTTCCGCATTTTTTAAAAGTAATACATTATTAAAATTTCGTCTTCATCCATTTCGAGCGAACACACACTACCGCCTTCCAAAAGAACAGAAGCGATTGCAGGGCATTAAACGATTCTGTCGTGCAAACGACAAGGAGGCTGTCGTGAAACGATAAATTGTCGTCACGATGTAGTGGGAACAGCTAGTCACGACCGTCGTTCAACGATAAAAAAACGTCCACGACAGATAGTCGTGATATGGGAACAGGCTAGACACGACAGTCGTCGAACGATAATAAAACGTGACGACATAGTGGGAACGCGCCCTAAGGGTTCTTAATTTGACTACAGAACCTGAAAAATATGTAATAGCTAACAGTACAAGACCTTAAAATATACGTAAAATCACTGTAACATCTATTTTACTTATTGAGCGCAGGCTACATTAATCTTTCTACCTAAGTTTTGTTTATAGTGCCCCTCTCTATCAATATCTTGGTTATATGGGAAGGGCATTTATTACATGTGCAAGCAAGCCCGCACACGGATCTTATTCAGTCAGATCCTGACCCTAGATCAGGCCGTTTACATAGACTTCTTCCGGTTATTGAGACCAACAAAATTATTGAATATTCACCTAGGGTATAAGATCATCATGTACAGGCCTACAGTTAATTTTCTAGTGTGCCAACTTTCCCAGAGCGTTCAACTCGCAAAGGTTTTACACAAACAACTTGCAAAAGAATTAACTGAAATGGATGTAATTTAAATTTTTGAGGTAATAAAATAATTAATAAACTAAGTTTTTATAGTTAAGATTGTTTATTTCACTTCAATTATCTTTTAAAGAATAAACAATTTAAGATATTCGTGAAACTATTGCGCAGATGAAATTTAAAAACAAAACAAAGCTGTTTCAATGGCTTTAAAGAAATAATTTTGAGTTTGATTACGAGTTAGTTACGCCAGCACAGCGTGTATGTAGTAAGTAGGTATGTATCTTACATTAAGGACAGTATTCGGTGCATAGATAGCTAGCTTACTGAACTCTACACTGCTGGGTAGGTACGGCACTATAGTACGAGACGAGCCTTCTATAAAGAGGGCACATTATTATTATGTAGGTGGCGTAAACTTATAGGCAGTAGTAAAGTAATATTATCTATTGGTAACTATACCTATTATCCGATAAAAGCACAGTAAATCTACCCATAATACTACAGACAATAGTCCCGTTTAGCTATAGACAGATACATAGATTCTATGGAAACAGCGCACGCATGCCAGATCGACTGCGCAACACGCAACGGCAAGTGCTGCCACCTGTGAGCAGTTTTTAAAATTAAATGTTCAGTGTTGTAATGTAACTAAACTGTACGGGGTGTGGTAGATTTGCCAAATTAGTGAGTGAATAATTCAATTGAACCACATTAATGATAAGAAAGTAGTGTGTTGCAGTGTTATTGATTTATTTGTCAACAGTTGATCCGGTAACGACGATCCGGTAACGACCATTTTTATTTTAACGGCTATCACATCAGGATTCATTTCCACAATCATTGGCTTGGTACTGTAAAAAATGAAAAATATTTAAATATTGAATCGGGTAAAAAAATAACAAATAGTGAGATAAATTTACGTTTGGATATTTTGATTACATAGTGTTTGTCGTGTATTCCGCAATGAGACTTATAGGTTAATATAATAACGTCGTACCTAAGGTTGTCATGATTGTAACTATCTGCTATTATAATAAAACAGTAATGTTATAAAGATATTATATTTCATTATGTTATTTAAAGCATAACTATTTTGCCTAATTAGCGGCATACGAAAATGGGCAAAATATATTATAATATACATGAATTTTTTTTCATGTACAATACAGTGATACAAAAAAAGTACTACTATCATTTAAATTCATGACTTCTTAATGAAAGGCAATAATTGTTTATTTCACTTAAGTTTGATTAACTTTCAAACATTTAATTTTAGTTTGGTTTGCAAATAATGGTACTATAAGTAATGATGTACTTTACTCTTGACTCATTGAACAGTTAGTCATGAGTAAAGTACATATAAGTTGATAGTTTTCATTTGATATGATACCTTTTTTATCTCGTACAAAACATGACTAAGTTACGTTGCATTTTCTTTGATCTTTTATATAAATTATTAAACTTTCGCGAAGTTACGATGTGTGTTCAGTATTAATAAAAGTTACGTGACGTACTTTTTCTTTTTCTTTATTTTGCTTGGAGACTTTCAGACGAATAGCAAAAAACTGGCCGAATAAACCGAATAGCTAATAATAACTAAATATTCTTTGCAACTCTAGTTGGTTCGCATTTTATGTTAAAGTTGTTGGTTTCCATGACGTGATTGCTATGACTATAAGTGAAATATTATGTACTGTAATACTTGTTCATTTAACCTTGTCTTTTTTATACAGTCTTTGTGGTATATTCAACACTGTGACCTATGAATTGATATATATCTACGTTGTACAGTAAAGAGTACATCATGCTTAATACTTTGGACTTTTCTTATCTTAGATGGCATAAAGTTTATATGATTATAATCATTATTCAAGATTCTAACTTTTGAAATATAATATTTAATTAAGATATTTGTTTCCTTAAATTTTATGTTTGTTTTCTATAATGTGAGAAAGAACTGTATCATTTACAATTGCTACAACATCACTACTTGGTAGATATTTGTGGTTCAAGTGTAGTAGTATATTGTAGCTAAATTGGCAACACTGGTATAATTGACCGCCACCCGTGAACAAATCGTTCGCTCGATCTCGCTCTGTCGATCGAGTCCGGTCGTGGAAGCCATTTTATTCTTGTGAATGTGACGAAAATTTTTACGGATTTATCGTATCAAAAGTTACAGTGTCAATGTGTGACCGCGTCGAGTGTCGTTTGTGACGTGTGATCGTGATCTAAAACTAAGAAATGTATGTGTTTGAGATCGGTTTGTGTTGACCTGCCCCGTTTCTCGGTCGGGCAGCAGGCATCGATTAGTGCAACAAGGCGGCCTGTAATAACGGCAAATCGAGGCTGTGGACTAGTTTGTGGTGTGAGCCATGGGCAACAATGCTGCCACCGCCAACAAAAAGGTGGACGCCGCCGAAAGCGTCAAGGAGTTCCTCGATCAGGCCAAGGAGGACTTCGAGGAGAAATGGAAGAAGAATCCTACCAACACCGCCGGATTGAACGATTTCGAAAGAATAAAGACCCTCGGCACGGGCTCGTTCGGCCGAGTCATGATAGTCCAACACAAACCGACAAAAGAATATTATGCTATGAAAATATTAGATAAGCAGAAAGTGGTAAAACTCAAACAAGTAGAGCATACATTAAACGAGAAAAGAATCCTTCAAGCTATCAATTTTCCCTTTTTGGTGAGCCTCAAGTTCCACTTTAAAGATAACTCGAACCTGTACATGGTGCTGGAGTATGTTCCTGGTGGAGAAATGTTTTCCCACTTACGCAAGGTGGGCCGTTTCTCGGAGCCGCATTCGCGGTTCTATGCGGCACAAATTGTGCTCGCCTTCGAGTATCTGCATTACCTGGACCTCATTTACCGGGACCTGAAACCTGAAAACCTACTCATAGACTCGCAGGGCTACCTCAAAGTTACCGATTTTGGATTCGCGAAGCGTGTCAAGGGCCGTACGTGGACGCTGTGCGGTACGCCCGAGTACCTCGCACCCGAAATTATCCTTTCCAAAGGTTACAACAAGGCTGTCGATTGGTGGGCGCTAGGAGTTCTTGTGTACGAAATGGCTGCTGGATATCCACCGTTCTTCGCAGATCAGCCCATCCAGATCTATGAGAAAATCGTGTCGGGCAAAGTCCGGTTCCCGTCTCATTTTGGTTCGGATCTAAAGGACCTTCTACGTAATTTGCTGCAAGTCGATTTGACAAAGCGTTACGGAAACCTGAAGGCGGGTGTAAACGACATTAAAGGGCACAAGTGGTTCGCTAGTACCGACTGGATCGCTGTCTTCCAGAAGAAGATCGAGGCGCCGTTCATCCCGCGTTGTAAGGGCCCAGGCGACACCAGCAACTTCGATGACTATGAAGAAGAGGCGCTACGTATCTCGTCAACAGAAAAGTGTGCGAAGGAGTTTGCCGAGTTCTGAGCGCGCACCTGGTGCCTGCGCGCGGATTCTCCCGTGAGTAGGTTTTTGTATTAGTGAATCTTCCGTGACAATGTCGTGGAAAGGTGAAGAGTGCATGTCTTTGCTGTGGCTCCGGGTGACCAAAGACGCTGAGCGCGCCCGGGCCCGCACCCCGCACACCCTTGGAGTGTCGGCGCGACGATCGTAGAACTGATTTCCGATATTTCGGTGGCGTTCATTTGCTTAGTGCCCTTTCAAGTTGACATAACATAGAGCAGATAGAGGAAGCTAAGTGATCCTTGTTCTGGTGATATTCCCGTCATGTTACTACCCAAGCACTATGACCACTCAATGTCATTTCAAATTGTTTACTTTCACTATGTTGTAGTTTGCTGTTTATAGTGTTGGGGTGTGGTAAGCTTTATTTAATATTATAGTATTTTTATTGTTTTTATTAAATTGATAAACTTTGTAAATCATGTAATGAATACTACTGATCAAATATTACTTATTGCTTTTAAGATTAATTAATTCACAGTCAAACTCAAATTTAGAATGTTATCTAAACATCACTTAACCATTGATTTAGAGCTATTTCAAACACTAAATTTTAGTCAATTTATTGAATTTCCTAAAATACTTATTTTGATGGAATGTTATACATATTACTTATGTTTTAATCATTTTGACATTTCGTTATCGGTTTATATTTATAGGTATATTGTTGTATAAGTTGATTGATATTTTATTTAAGGAACAATAACTACATCAAATTGTTGAAGAGATTAATTTATTGTATTTGAATGTAGTTGTGTTCACTCTTGTGCAATTTGACTTATGTGTTTGTGATCTGATGTAAGGATTTGTTTGGATTTAAGTGTAGTTAATTTGTATAGTTCCTTATTTTGTAGCGTATCATACATTTACTGTGAAAGGTTCAATACTAGCTGCCTTCGCAGTCCATTACGGCTAGGCTTGTGTGGCTATGGCAACATGTAGCTCTAATCTGGGACTTATTGTTAGCATCAGTTTTTTAAAGCAATAAATTTTTAATATTCCTAAACATATTTCAATGTGTAATGCGGTAAAAGTTTGGAACGTGTTGATGTGTGACATTTCGACAAATCAAGCACAAATTGAATTAAAAGAGAGAATTTTTATGAGTGTGGAATATTTCCAATTACGCATAGGAATATGTTTATGTTCTTAGTAGTAAATCTCTTAAAATGCCATTATGGCGATATCTTGTCATTGAGACTGATGTTATCAATAAGTATAAATTTAATATTCGCAATTCTGTTACTTCTGTCCTATAATTGTCTGGCGTGTGGAGTACTAAAACTGGACATGTTTATTATAAAGTTTGTTAGCTGTTAGATGTAGGACTTTGAATCCAGGCTGTACAAATAAATATCTAGTTATTTGTAGTGCATTTTACATTGTGGAGACATTGTGCGCGTCTGTGGTAATAGTCATTAGGTTGAATATCCTGGGATGGTTACAGAACCAATTTGCACGTTTCTTGTATTACTGATATATGACTTCTATAACACACACTCAGTACAGTCCACAGTCCATAATTTAGGAAATTGTACGGAATCATATCAAGTTGTGTAACTCTTACCTCTTGTAAATTATATTGTAATAACCTTAGTAAAATTTGTGCAATTAATGTCCATCAAAAATCCTGTTTAAAATTTGACCAAACCTCCCTATTTAGCAAACATTTACTTGCCTGTGTATTTATATTATTTAATTCTTTCGAATTTAATAAATTGATCACTCAATTTTTACCCTTGCTAACAATGTCTTAACTGGTGAAGTCTGGATCCTAAATATGACTTTGTAGTCCTACTAAAATGTTTTTCGTTATTTCTATCGTTATTTGGTGCCATAACTATATCCGGAAGTATCAACCTTTTCTTTGTACGTACATAAATTATAGTTTTCAAATTTAGTCATACATAATTATTGTGGTATAGTTTTGTATTGTAACACATCAATGAAGGGCACTTAGTGTTGCTAATTTCTTTTCCAAATTTTAACGTGTCTGTGCATAAGTAGTTAAAGTTGCTTGACTGTATTGGCAACCAAAGTCTGATTAAAGTGGTCGTGATAATTATCTCTATTTTTGTTACCAAAGTGATTGATTAACGGGCTGCAGTTTGACATGCGCAGGCATATTTAAAATTTAAATGAATGGCACTTTTCTTAGTATCTTGTGTGTAATTTCTCGAAGTATCAATCGAATCAATCAATCCTTAATAAGTAGCTAGTCACTTCCACCTTATGAATATCTTCATTGCGGCATTCTAAAGTTGTGTACGAAACAAGTTCGGTGTCCAACGCTTTAGAATTTTTACTAGAATACATTTTAGATTGATTAAGTATAGTTAGTTTCTTTTGAAGTTTTACAAGAGTAAGCTAAATGAATCGGAATAAGCGACAAGAGTGTATACTTTCGAGCAACTGTTACTTTGATAGGTTTTCAATGATGTGAAGCTTGGAATTGCTTCTCAGATCGCTTTCGAACCATTGTTCTACCGAGTTAGTTTTTCAATGAGAATATCCATTGTTTTATTCAACTAAACTATAATCATACGTTTTTGTAAGACTAGAACTGAATTCACCATTTGGACATTGTTTAAACAAGATGTTCGAAGTATTTTGAATTGAGAATTCTCGTCCTCTTGCGTAATCGCCGATGTTGTAGACTTAATGCAACCCTTATTTTGTTACAAGTAATGTATTTAATAAATAAGAACAAATAATAAGGAATTTCTGAGGTGTACCCTTTGTTACTGTCATTGTATATAACTCTAGAGTGATTGTGTCCCCCGGTAATTAGGAGATTTGATATCAGAGCTTTGGTACCCGCAGAATTTCATTCCAGTAGCCTCACTACTTGCTCATTGACACAATGTGGACGTTCTAATGTGAACATTTTAAGCCATTTTGGATATTATAAAAATTTGTGTGACAGTATGTGTATTTGCGAAGTCGTCTTTTTATATCTGTGCGTATTATAATTAAAATGTTCACGTATAGATCTATTAAATATCGAGTGCCTATAGTCTTGAAAATTCAAGTGTAAAAAGTCAGTTAATTTCAGTAATTATTTGTCACCATGTATTGATCTTCCATAAAATTACGATGAAATTAAAAATATCGATGTAACAGTATAATTTTGTTTAATTTTATATCACTCTTTATGTATAGACGATTTCTACAACCTGGGAAGCCAATATTAATGTCATAAAGTTGACATTTGATTAATGTTGCCGTGTTATAGTGTAAAGTGGCGACTTCTTGAAAGTATTTTATCGCTCAATATTTGGCACCATGGTTTGCCTTGCACATTATCTTGGTATATTGCGGATAATGTAACATAGATAGAATATGTGGGGAAATGGTGCATCGCTTGCCTTTAGTCGGGTTCTCACGTTTGGCAGAGCACGGCGGCGGCGCGTGGTGCGGCTGGCGCGTTAATATGCCGCTTCCTAATAAAGTGGAATGCTCGGTGGAGTGTACTCTTCATCATCGCTCTCAGACAAAGGATTGTTTAAGAGTGATTTCAAGCCCACATCCAATGAAGTTATAGTTCCAGAACTGTGCACTTTTACTTCAACTGTTCCATTGGTTACTTTTGGGCTGACCCATGTAACTTATTTTTAAGAAACTTATGAAGGTGGTAGATGTTTAATTTCAACTTTTTAGTATCAACAAGCATTGCGTTCAGAATCATAATATTTGACTCTTCACATGGGAGCCTTACCTTATATTACATAAAAATTTTATGTAATATAAGGTAAGGCAAATATTTACATTTTATTTTACATATTTGCATCTGTTCTACATATTTATTGTTACCTACTAAGACTTGCACATTTGGGCGTGTCAGTTACTCTCCCAGGCGTACTAAATATAGTCGGGTAAATTTCAAAACCTCGTTACTCCGTTTTTGGACCAAATTCAATTTTTTACACTTTAAGCGCAATATCGGGCAATTGAAGCTTTAAATATAATTTATAGACCCTTTTTTAGTTACAATAATCTTAAATATAATTTACTGAAACTTTTTTAGTTACATTAACCATATGTAGTCATATAATTATTTCTAGTAATTCTGCTTTTTGGGCCTATTCAAAATTGTACATAAATGGCGGTTGCTAGGTTTGCGAATTCATATTTTGTCTAGAGATTTATTATCAGAACCCTGCGGGTTTTGTTTTACCTACAATAGTATTTATTTGTCTAATGTAAACCGGTGACGGTGAGTCTGATGCGTTTAAAAGTGGAACATTATGATTTTCCAAATTCTATTCAGAATGTTTAAATCCTAGTTTAGTTGCTATATTTTATAGGAACATACCCGTTACTAAACGAGTAGCTAATGTGGTTTTAGTTTTAATTTATCAAATTCAGGGTTGAATGAATCGGCGTACGAGTAGGTGTTGATGCCGACAGCTGAATCATTTGAACAAGTAGAGCTGGGTAAATAACGATTTGAGTCATCTGCGTGGACTTGCAACTAGGAATGTAAGCTGTTAAATGTTACTCCATTTTATTGCTTTTCTGGTATCCATTTTTATTACACTTTGTATTTGTATATAATTTTATACGTCCTTGGAAGTTTATAAAGATTTTGTAATTAAGTTTGAATATCTTGCACAATATATACATCGCTGGCAGTTAATACCTGGTCGTTGGTTGAGTTGACACGCGATCCTCGGTTGTGGGACGGTAGGACCATTATCCATTGCACACAATGGTCGCTTAGCTTGAAACATGGTCTAATTGACACGTGCCATCATATCTATTGCTAGAAACGAATAATTTGTGTAAAGAGGATCTTATTATATAATCGTACGTCTATGAATTACATACATATAGAGACGATGTGTTGTTACGTAACGCAACACATACGTGTTGTCCTGACAATGTGTCATCATTAAATGGTAACTTTTAAGTTGGTTATTTTGTCCTATTTATAAGTATTTTTATTACAGTTTTTAGCGATTCAGACTATTGCTTTTTTGTACAGACGTCAGTAGTAATATGGTCATTTGCAGGCGGCAAGGTTTTTACTTTTCACATTTTAGCGTAAAACATTTAGACTTATGATTCTGGGTTTGAGTTGTATTCCCAAATTGTAATACTCGCTTGGTCAGTGGGTGTGCCGTCTGATAATGTCTCTCGCATGCGCAACTGCCTGTCGCAACCTTGAGATTGTGAGAAAGCGTTCTGACGTACGCACGAACATGCTCTACAATCTCTACGTGTGTGTGGGCCTGTTTGGCCACTGCCGCACAATCTTGCTCTTGCACTAATGAAAAAGAACTACCAACAATTACTGTTCTTTAAATGCGGTAGCAAACAGGTAGATTGTCAATTTGTGCTAATGGAACAACATATTTACACCTCACACATTTACTTTGTTTAGTTCCCACTTTAAATTAACATGATCCTATCTTTACCATTACTCGAAGCTCCGAAGACCTAGATTTCAAGGTTTATTGATTTTCTTATCGAGGACAAGACCGTTTCGGAAATACCCGTACGGTGCGCTCCTCAAGTTCAGTATATCCATCGACATAGCCCGTGATAGAACGAAACTCGATGTTTATATTCGACAACGCTAAATTGAGCTCTGTCATACGTTGTTTCACCTTGACACTGTAATAAATGAGAGAATGGTCGCAAGGCGCTGTTATAACACGGTTCATCCTTCATTGGATCTGGTCGGATTAACTCCTCTACATTTTTCCACTCTTTCCAACTGTGGTCACCAGATGTCAGTCTTCAACGTTACAGCACATATGCTAATTTTCACATCCAAACATGGTAATAAAATCCAAGGTGAAGTTTGGATACGTTTCATTCTCATCTCGTTCATATCGGTAGTAAGCTGATTTCGTGT